CCTCTGCCCGCGACCTACAGCCGGATGGCAAGGCCTCAGCACCAGCCTGCGCTGGGGGGCTCTGGAGGGACTGCACCCCCACATCCCTGGGCTCACCTGGCCCGCTGGGCATCCTGCAGCAGCTGCCCAGCCCGACGCACATCACCGGCTGTCTGCTCCAGGATGGCATCCACGCTGGCCAGGCTGCGCACTCGTGTCTTGATCTCCTCGGCCAGGCGGTGGATCTGGGCCGGGGCGGCCGGGAGCGACAGCTCCAGCACCCGGCTGGCCACCACCTCAATGCTCTCAGGGTCAGCCCCCTCCTCTGTGGGTGGGAGCAGTCAGTGTGTCCCCCGCAGCACCCCAGGATTGAAGGGACAGGCAGACTGAGCAGCAGAGGGAGCAGAGGGCAGGGGACAGGAGATGGTTGGAGGGCACAGGATGGTTGGGGCAGGGCAGAGACCATGCAATGCAGTGTGGGGCAGGGGTGGCACAGCCACAGCGTGGGGACCATACAGTGTGGTGCGGTGCAGGATCAGCGCAGTGTGGTGCAGGTGCAGAGCCCCGTAGCACAGGGCAGGGGGCCCAACCCTCCCGGCATGCTGGCACTCACGGCTCAGGAAGGCCTTGACATGGCTGATTAGCTCCCGCAGCTCCTTGTTGGAGCTCTCCACTCGGGCCCTGGTCTGGTTCGCCTTGTCCAGGGCTGCCTGTGCTCTCATCCGAGCCTCATCCGCCTTCCCCTTGGCCTCAGCCACCTGAGCATGGGCAGAGACCCTCGGTGCCAGCCCCAAGAGCTGGGGCGCATGGCTGTGCCGCCTGCTCCCACCACCGCCTGTGTGCCACACACCTTGTGGGAGAGCTGGGCCATGTCACTGCCAGCCTGCCGCAGCTCCTCCTGGGCATGGTGTGCCCGGTCCAGCGCGCTGTCAGCCTTGGACACGGCTCCACCACAGCTCAGACCCCCACAGCGTCGTCCTCCATCCTCATCCTGGCACCCAGCACCCCCGCAAGGGCTCTCAGCGCAGGGCACATTGCCCACCACACCACAGACCTGCAAGGCAGTGCGGGATCAGGGCAGCTCTGGGAGCCATCCCCCCAGTCCCATCCCTGCATCCCACCTTCTCGTTGAGCGTCTGCAGGCTCAGCGCCTGTGCCCGCTCTGCCAGGTCCATCAGTGCCCGCCGACTGGCTGCGTTGTAGCGATTAAAGTCATCCCGGTGGCTGGCCAGGAGCTGCTCCGTGCGGTGACGGGTGGCTGCCGAGGTGCTGATGGGGCTGGGCACGGCGCGGGTGGAGGCATCTGCCCGGCGCTCGGCGTCCCGAGACTCCCCAAAGAACTGGTGGATGCTGTCATAGGCACCTGAGGGCAGCAGGGGCACTGTCAGACCGCCGGCCACAGCCCCACCCCCCCAGCCTGGCTCTGTGGTGTGGCTCACCGAGGAAATTGGAGGTCTTGAGGGCATGTAGCCGCTGCTCCAGGTCCTGCAGGCTGTGGTTGAGGGAGCGGGCACCTCGGTCCACGGCGTTCAGCACGTGGCTGGCATTGAAGTTGGCGTCCTGAGCAGCCGTCAGCTCCCCCTCCAACCGCGTCAGCCTCTCCGTTGCCTCCTCGATCTGCCGCCTGCAAGGGAAAGGGGTGACCACCCGCCCCTGGGGCCACCTTGGGAGCCATGCCCAGTGCCAGGTGCTCACCGCAGCCCCTCTGTGGCATGTGTCAAGTGGGCGGCGGTAGCGGCAGTGGCATTGCGGGTGGCCACCACGTCACGCACGGTGGCCAGGTTCTCCTCCAGCCGTCGGAAGGTGCCCTCGAAGGCGCCGGCAGCCCCGGTGTGCTGCAGGAGGCTGGCCCGCTCTGCCAGCGCCCGGGCACGGGCAGCCAGGTCCTGCACCACACGGTCCCAGTCCCCGAAGCAGGGGTGGCAGGGCTGACAGGCAGGGAAGGTACCAGAAAACCCTCGGGCACACTGGTCACAGCGGACTCCAGAGATGCCAGGCCGGCAGTCACAGTGGCCGCTGCTGCGATGGCACTGGGCACTGGCTACACCATGGGGGTCGCAGTCACAAGCTGCAGGGAGAGTGGTGTCAGTGTGCCACGGGGCCCGCTCTGGTCCCCCTGCTGGCACCAGCTCTCACCTCGGCACTGCTGCCGCGGGTCACCCCAGTGGTTCTCCTGGCAGTCGGTGCAAGTCCGGCCCCCAAAGCCTGGCCGGCAGGAGCACTGCCCTGTGAACTGACAGACAGCGTGGCTGGGGCTGGCACTGCTGCAGGGCACCCCCAGCCTCATCCCATCCCCCCATCCTTTATCCCCCGTTGTGTCTCACCTGGTTGCAGGCAGGTGACAGTGCGTGCTGGGGGTGGCAGGCACAGGGCTGACAGCCCTGCCTGCTGGCCAGGTTCCAGAAGTTGGGACTGCAGCGGTCGCAGCTCTGACCCTCCACGTTGGGCAAGCAGTGGCACTGCCCACTGTGCCTGTCGCAGTGGCACTGCTGGGGCCCACAGGTGCTGGCGTCGGTGCCCAGGGGGTTGCAGGAGCAACCTGGAACCAACAAGCACTAAGTGGGGACAGGGATGGGAGGAGGATTGAGAGGGGATGAGGACAGGATGAGGACAGAGATGGGGATGAAACTGAGGATTGAATTGGGGAAACAGGCAGGGATGGGATGGCGATGGATAAGGGTGAAGGCAGGTTGGAGAAAGAGAATGGGCAGAGATGGAGTGGGGACTGGATGGAGCTGGGAGGAATGAGAGCAGCATGAGGACCACTGATAGGGATGGAATAGAGATGTGACAGGGTTGGGATAGAGATGGAATAAGGATGGTATGAGGACAGATGGATGACAGTGGGAATGAGATGGCAGTAGGGACAAGAATGGGCATGGAATGAGGATATAGATGGGATGGGACAAGTTTGGCATAGGGACAGGGATAGGGCCACAATGCTGGGCCTGGGCAGAGGAGACAGCTGAGAGCTGCAGGGACCCCACAGCACTGTGCACAAGCAAGGGCAGCCATGGGTGCACATGGTCCCCAGGGATGTGCCAGACG